CTTGAGAAGGGCAGACTGTCAAGGGGCCACAGGGATGTTGGGGAGGGGCCGGATGGCGGGGGTGGGCTCCCCGGTGGCCTGGAGGACGCATCACGCCGCCCAGCCGCCAGCAGCACACTCGGGAGAGGCACCAGCTCTGCGGGGAGGTTAGTGGGGGCTCCCGCGCTGTCTGCTAACAGGAAGCAGCCGTCACAGAATGGACAGTGACGGGGGGGGGGGGAGGGAGGGGCACGACAGGGGCCACCGGGTGGATGCGGTAAGCTCAGAGCCGGGCCAGGCCTGAGGGGCCGAGGTGGTGAACACCGCATTCTTGGAGACTGGACAGACGTCCGAAGAGAAGAAATCAACCAGGAGGTCCCAATGAAAGGTCACGGTCCTTGGCCCAGTTTCCAGGATTGAGGCAGATTTCAGACCCAGAACCCAGAGAATAGAAGGGGGCCAGGTCCTCGGGAAGCAGACTTTGCGACATCAGGTACGACTGTGCCGTGGCGAGGGTGCCGGGCCGTCCCCGTGACCCCGTGACAGCACAGGGGCGGGAACTCGCCCACGCACTGGGGGACCGCTGGACACAAGGTTCCAGCTGACGCCAATAACCTGAGCCCCCAAGTGTCACCTGTTACAGTCAAGGGCTCACGAATGGGATTGTTGCCAGGGTCCAGTCCCTGACTTTGAGTCTACACGGCCACCCAGTGGCCATTTCCCCATGCCCAGAACGGGCCAGTGGAGTCAGCATCGCTGCTTTGGCCGCCATGACGCACAAGCGCATCAGGAGTGTCCGCAGCTGCCCCCAACCGAGGTAGTGAGCCACCGCGGGACTTCCTGGGCAATGACACACTTAAAGACTGACGGGGGCAGGGCTGGTGCTGTCACATCTGTTCACCTGGCCAGCCTGACCACGACCAGAGGCCGGTGACAGATCCGGAAGGATGGCAAACAGCCGGACACTCCAGGCTGCACCATCCTCCATCCCAACAAGGAAGAGACTCAAAAGCCGTCCACATTTACTGGTAGAGAACGTGTGGCCCCCCCGCTACCGTGACCCTCCTCAGGGTCCCTGGAACAGCGCACCTGTCCCCCCGCATCAACAGCCTTGTGTTAGACCGGATGGTGGAGAGGCGGCGAGCGCGCGCACTCAGGGGAGATGTCCGGGGTCCTGGGGCAGAGGACGGGTCGCACCTGCGCCTTACCACGAGGGAGCGCAGGCCTGGGGGCCTCGGGGTGCTGCAGCGGCGCGCGCCCCTGGACTGTGCTGCGCTGCCGGCGCCCCTGCGTCGAGCTGAGCGGCTCTGGGGCAGGGCCGCGGGGTCTGCGGGAGAAGGGACCCAAGAAAGATGGCCCGGCTGGCACGGGGCTACGGCCGACTGCCCGGCACTGGCTTTCTCAGACCTGCCCTGTCAGAAGGTCGGGCACGTGGGTGAGACCTGGGCAAGGCCGCGGGTCAGCGCCCGTCGCACCACTGTGGTCCAGACCCCGTCTGGCGGCCCTTGCCCCTTTGTGTGTCCCACGGCCCCCGTGTGCGGCCTCCGGGGACACCTGTGACCCGCGGAGGGGGAGCTCAGTCACGGTCCAGGGATGGCTGGCACGGTCTGTGGGCACGAGTGGACGATGGCAGTGCGGAGGGGGCCCTGTGGGCAAGCGGCCCAGCTAGCGGGTCAGGGGCGTGGGAGGAGGCAGACGGGCATCTCGGGGACGGGGGTCTGCGGATAGGGCGCGGGGCGAACATTCGAAATCCCACGTCCACACCCACCAGGACATACCCACCCCGTGCAGCAGGTGGGCAGAGCCCCTCGGCTGTGTGACAGCAGCCAGCCTGTCCTCGGCGCCGGGTGCTCGGACAGAACGGCCAGGACAGCGGAGGTGATGGCTCCTCACACGTCTGTCCTGAGGCTGAGCCCGGCACTGCCAGCCCAGTCGGCGCCACGGGGACCGAGGCCCAGCATCCCCAGCAAGGGGGCGGGGGCAGGGCACTCTCCGTGGGGGCACCCTGGGCACCGAGGGTGCTGGACAGCTTCCTGGCCGCGTCATGAGCCAGCAGCACCCCTCACCCAGCTGTGACATGTCCCCTGGGCCCCCAGTGGAGAACACGGGCTTAGCAGATGTTCGCTCCCCCGGGGCAACAGGACCCCACAGACGGCACAGCAGACCAGGGGACTTCGGGGGCAAGGTGGGTGGGGACCACGGGGCTTCCAGAAGCTTCTAGCCTGACAGGGCATATACTGGCCACGCCCTCTGGGGCTGGAAGCCAGCTGGGACTGGCGTTCGCTGCTGTGTCCCCAGGGGACACCTGTCCTCCAGGCCCCTCGTGTCCGGGCCGGCGGGGGGGCAGGCGGCCCAACCACACGTGGTCCTGAGGCCGGAGGAGGTGTCCCAGAGGCAAAGAGTGGGCCAGGTCACTATGCTGCTGGCCCTCTGCAGGGGCGCGTCCGGGGTGGGAGGAGGGAGCGGAGGGTCATCCGGTTTGGGCTCCCTGCGGGGCCACAGTCAGGCGGCTGCATCTGCCTGGCTTCCTTTCTGCCCTTTTCTTCCACAGGTTGGATCTCCCGTTGGTGCTGGGGGCCGAGGGTCCTGGCCACAGAGCGTCCTGCCCTGGGACCTCTGGCCTCCCCAGGGTCGCCCACCTCGGCCCAGGCCCTGCAGGGCAGCCTGGGTGGTCCTGCAGCGCCACCTGCTGGCCGCGCCCCCTCCAGCCAAGCCCGGGGCGGCTTAGCCTGCCGGTGGGGCCCCGGAGGGGTGTGGTCCCCGCTGTCCGTTCACTGTCCGTGCCCGCACCGCCCTGGGGCCTGAGGGGGTCCGCAGGGCCTCGGCAGGGTCACCACCACGGATGGGGGGTTCCACTGTCACTCGGAGACCTGGGTGGGGCCTTGACATTCAGGCCCTCAGCACCTGCGTCCCTGCACCTTGGCCCCTGGCTCCTGACTGCACCTGAGCCTGGGGTCAAGTCCGCCCTCCCCGCCCACAGCACACCCCAGTCCACCCCTACACACACCAGGGGCTGCTCTGGGGACCCTCCACCTCTGTCTCCAGGTCCCTTGTCTGGGAACGTGTCCTGGTCACGGGCGAGGAGACAGGCTGGGGCACTCCACCGTGGCTCCGGGCAGCTTGGGGAAGGGGCCACTCTGAGGGTGACAAGTGAGCAAGAGGAGCCAGACCCAGTGTCCCCAGCAGGGCAGCAGCACGGAGGCCCTGACCCGGCCCCTGCTTGGCAGTTTCAGGAGCCAGGTCAGCCGGATGCCTCCAGTCTCCTGCTGGGGGGAGGCGGCGAAGGGGCAGGGGGTCCTGAGCAGAACGAGGTGAGGGTTCACGGGACACCGACCCGGGGCCTGTGGCCACAGCCGCTGCCAGCATGGAGCCGCCCACGCTGGCCCGGTCCCTCCCTGGGCAGCCCGAGCCAGGTGCCATGGTGGGGGTCTAGGGCAGGGCCTTGGCAGGGTGGAGGTGAGGGGACAGGCCCCCCAGAGGACCCCACAGCCCTCGGGGGTTGACATGGGGGCTGTAGGGGAGCCAGCTGCAGGCATGTCCTGGAGTCCACAACAGCAGGGCCTGTCCCCTCCCCACTGCCAGGCGACTGCCCCTCAGGACGCCTGCCAATGTCGCCTGTGCGGGGGGGGGGGGGGCGGGGAGGGCTCCGGTGTCCACAGAGCCCTGGTAGGGGTGGGCTGCTGCCCCGATGACCCTACCACTCAGACTCAGGAGCCTTGGGTTCCAACTGGAAAGTGGGGTTCATTTCATACCAGCCACGTGGCCCGTGGCTTTGGCTCCTCAGGCCTGACCTGGGTCCCACATGTCCGCCCTCTCTGGCCTGGCCCTCTGCTGGGGTTCGAGCTGTGGCAGGAGCCCCTCACCCCCCAGGGGCCTCCCCGTCCTCGCCCCCACCTGTGCGGGGCTCCGCCAGCCTCCCGGCCCTCAGGCTTGCCCTCCCTCCCTCCCTCCCTCCACAAAGCCCACAGCCCACGGGGCCACTGGAAGCCACCCAACCATAGGGCTTTGTCCTCCCTTCCAGGCTCACGTGGCCTTCACCCCTCTGGTGGCCACCTCTCCCCACCGTACTCCGGCTGCCCAGACCCTCAAGCCCGGTGCCCATAGAGACCACGTGTGAGCGTGACGACAGGGCCGTCCCCCGCGTGGACCCCCAACAGGTCTGGCCTGGACAAGAGCTGCAGGCTGGCCTTGCCTGGTCAACTCGACCCTTGTCCTCTAGGATCTCAGGGGCGCTTGGCCTGGGACAGGAAGCTTCTTGTCCCTCAGCACAGACATGGAGACAGAGCAAGGGCTGCCAGCAGAGTGGCACTGGCATCCAGGGAGAACCAGAGACAAGACTTGGGGTGGGGGTGTCCCCTGCGGCCCCCGGGGTGCCCGCCCTGGGCCCACAGGGCAGGTCCTGCAAGGTGGTGTGAGGATGCCGAGGCCCTCGGTGCTAGGACAGTGGGAGACAGGTGGCTGCCCCAGGCGGCCCCTGCGTGGACGGCAGTGGGGCTGGGGTAGCAGCAGGGCAGGCGGGGTGCTCAGGAACCGGCGTTCACACGGCTGTGCAGGGCCCTGGGGGGCGCCCGCACCGACTGGTGAGCTCTGGGGGGGCCCTGGGGGCACCTGCACGGACTGGTGAGCTCTCAGGGGCTCTGGGGGGTGCCGCACGGACTGGTGAGCTCTGGGGGGGCCCTGGGGGCACCTGCACGGACTGGTGAGCTCTCAGGGGCCCTGGGGGGCCTCCCCGTGAAGCCACAGCCTGTATTTTTCTCAGCTGCTTCATTCCTGGATGAGACTTTGGCCCTGGCTTGTGATGGACGGATTCCTCTGGCTGTGCCCCTGCCCGAGGGCCCCTCGGTGGCATTGCTCTCCATCCTGTGCTGACAGCCCAAGCCAAGCACCCCAGGCGGGCAGGGGTGTGTCCTCTCCTTGTTGGGCGTCAGGGGCGCCATCCGGCTGCAGCGGGACAGTGACGGCGAACAGAGCTCACTCCGTCCAAAATCGTTCAGCTTTTCAGTGAGACAAACTCACACGCGTTCTGTGCCTGACTCCCTCCAATAGTCAATTTTATTATAAAGAATGGTATCAAAATATACAAATCTGTTTAAGAACCAGAAACTGCAGTTTTCTAAGGGCCAGGTGGGCACAAGTGTTTGAGGGGACGCAGCTCCCCTGGACCGTCCGTGGAGAAACGGGAGTGTGGGGGCGGCATTTCTGGGGTGTCAGTCTGAATAACTTAAAGGGCGGGTCCGGCTTCCAGCTCTGGACACACGTTATAGATCTTCGTGCGACGGCGGCTGTGCTGGGTCTTCTGCGGCTTCTGCCAGGAAACAGACACAGATCACCTGGGGAAATGCCCGCACGAAAGCCCCGGGGCGAGGCGCTAGGTTTCCACGGGATCGGGGCAGCGAGTGCTGGGGCCACCGTCCCCACGGCATGGGGTGGCGCGGGCTCCCCCCGGACGCGGCAGCCCGATGGCCCCACAGCGGGGGGCAGGGGAGGGGGCGGCCGGGCGCTTCGGAATCAGCCGGGTGGAACGGGGGCTTGGATGATGGTGAGGAGTGTGGGCGGGGGGACCCCAGGACACACGGAGGCTGAGGTGGCTGCTGTCCTGTCCTCTGCTGCGTCCTCGCTCCCTTTGACGTCTGGTGCATTCCCGTCCTTGGTGCTGGGCTTCCTATGAGGCTGCGCACTCGCTGTTCTTTACCCCACTGGGGGGGGGGGGGGCTGCTGGAGTCTGCGACACGTCTTACTCATTTGGGAACAGACACTGGGAACAGACTCTGCTGTTCCAGCACTTTTAGGAGACTAGCAGGAGAGCTGTCCCCAGGAGCCGTGGTGACATCCTAACCTGTCCCCCAAAGACGCGGTGACATCCTAACCCCAGCAGGTGTGAACTGGGCCTTGTGTGGAAATGGGCTCTCTACAGACGATCAAGGTAAGGTGAGGTCACTGGGGTGGGTCCCTATCCAATGACCGGCGTCCATATGGGGAGAGAGAGGCGTGGACACAGGCCACGTGGACAGAGGCAGAGACCGGAGGGGACGGGGCGATAAGCCCTGGGATCCAAGACTGACGTCCACCGGAAGCCAGAAGAGGCCGGGGACCCTGCGCGCAGGCTCAGAGCGGTGCTGGCCTCGGGCCTCCGGGAAGCTCGCACGGGGGCCGCACAGGGGCCTTCAGGGGGCTCCTCTGCCGTCAGCCCACCTACGGCTCTGGGGTCCCCGACACTGCTTCCCGCCCCACCTCCCGCCTGTGCGGTGGCCTCCCCACAGGGACTGTCGCCCTCTGGCCGCTGTGGCCCGACAGCCCGTGTCACGCGCGCGCCCCCCGGCCGGGCTGCTCACCAGCCGCCGCGGTCTGCATGTGCACGCAGGCTGCTTCCGCCTCCTCGAAGCCCTCAGGGCACACGCACGCGTAGCTCCCAGGGCTGTTGTGACAGTTCTCGTTCTCGCGCGCGCACACTGCGTCCGCAAGCGCGCACTCGTCCACGTCTGCGGGGCAGACAGCCCGCCCTAACGAGCTGCCCTGCTCAGCGGCCGCGTCGCGATCGCGAGCGTCTCGTCACTCGCTCACACACAGAACACACGAAGGTCAGACACGTCACGTGGGAGAAGAGGGTAAGGGGACAGCTGAACAGGGGTGCCGGGGGGCGGGCCACGCACGGCCCAAAGCAGAGAGGCCCGGTGTGGCCGCGAAGGCGTGAAGCCCAGCTAAGCTCGCACGTGCAGCGAGGTCAGTGGGTTCGCCGCCTGTTTCCAAGCGGGTTCCAGCCGGCCCGGATCGCGGAGGGGCCGCGGGGCGGGGTCGCCCCTAGCTGACAGGGGCCCGGGCGGGGCGTGGATCACCAGCGCCATGCACACGCGGGGCCCCTCCCACAGCTCCGCTAGGAGCGGGAGCAGCAGAGTCTGCTGGGTGGGAGCCATCGCCCGACGCCACCAGCTGGGCCCGGCCCCGCCCCCCGCGGGGTCCCCGCAGCAGCGCTCCGGCCCGGCCCGGCCCGCCACTGACCTGCGCACTGGCCGCTCTCCTTGGTGTAGCCAGGGACACACTCCTTGCACTGTCCTGGGCCCTTCCCCGTGCAGCCCACACAGGTAGCATCACATTCTAGAAACCAGAGAGAAAAACACTGACAACGTCGGACCCCGTCCAGTGGCCACACTGGGTCCGCAGCCCGGCCACGTGGGAACCCGGTGCTCCGGCGTCTCCCACCCAGCCTCCCCGCCAAGCACGGGCTCAGTGGAGGTGGCAGAGCAGAGACTCGGCGACCACATGCAGGAGGCCCACGGCCTGGCACCCTCTGCCCACCCTGTCATGGGAGCCGGCGGCGGCGCGGCCGCTGTCCTGGGGGCGCTATGAGCTCGCTGTAGGGGAGGTGCAGAGTCACAGAGGGGCACATGTGGCATGTGCGGAAGCCCCGGCCTTCTGGGGACGGCGTGGCCCTATACATAGTCTGCGCCGCCGAGCAGTTTGCAACCAGGGCAAGAAAAACGACGATGAACGCGAGAAACTTTACTTCAAAGTTCACGACTGTGGGAGAGTCGGTCTGGCCCAGACAGCCAGCGACAGAGCGTCTGAGAGATCCGCGGGGCCAGGACGCGCTCGGAAATCACGAGCGTGCGTGTTCCTGACGTACACACGTGTCGGGTCGGACAAGGACGGTCCGACCTTGTTCATCGCGGAGCGAGTTAAAACTAGTACCAGAGGCTCCCTCTCCGTGGAATTGATGTTTTTTAAAAATTATCTTCAACTCATTTGAATTTTCTAATTTTTCTGCAACAAATACCTATTACTTGGGTCGCCACCTTAAACTATTTTTCTTTTTGAGAGAGCGAGTGAGCACGTGCTGTGGGCGTGCAAGTGGGGGAGGGGCAGAGAGAGAAGGAGAGAGAATCCCAAGCAGGCCCCACGCTTTGGCGCAGAGCCCGACGCGGGGCTCCGTCTCACCCCCTGGGATCATGACCTGAGCCAAAATCAAGAGTCGGACGCTTAACCGATGGAGTCACCCAGGCGGCCCACTACCTTAAACTTTTAAAAGTAGGTAGAGGGGCACCTGGGTGGCTCAGTTAGGTGTCCACCTCCGGCTCAGGTCATGACCTCACGGTTCGTGGGTTCGAGCCCCGCGTCGGGCTCTGTGCTGACGGCTGGGAGCCTGGAGCTGCTCCGGATCCTGTGTCTCCCTCCCTCTCTCCCCCGCCCCTACTTGTGCTCTGTCTCTGTCTCTAAAATAAATAAATAAACAGTGAAAAAAATTTAAAGAAGGTAGACCACACGGAAGTCACGTGGACGTGGCGGGGAGGTGGGCACGCCCACGGGGGGAGGGGCACGCCCAGGCACCTTCGCACACGAACGAGCCGCCGACGTTCTCGCAGTACTGCTGGTCGCCGCACGGGGGCGCCTCGGCCGCACACTCGTCCACGTCTGGAAGGACAGCGGCACCGCCGTGAGGGGCGCGGCCGGGGAGGTGGCCTCCCGCGTGCAGGCGTAAGGCCCCTGGGGAGGGGCCGCAGAGGCTCCGGGTGGGTGTTGGGGCCCCGCCCTCCCCACTCGATGTCAGGTGCCAGCCCGACGCCCCTGACTGAGGGGGAGACCAAAGCGGACGTGTGACGGGCGGAGGGCACCCCGGCCTCGACCCGCCACTCCGCCTGCCTGCCCACCAGCACCCGGGCCTGAGGAGGAGCCCCTCCGCCACTGCCAGGCCCTCCCGGGGCCTTCTGCGGGCCTGGGGTCAGAGGAGAGGGCGCAGCAGGAGCGGGCAGTGGCTGCCAGCTGGGGGGGCAGAGCCAAGGGGCCCCAACTCTGCAGCTGTGTGCGTGTCAGAAGGCCTGCCTCCTCTCTGCGGCTGCGAGGCGCCTGTGTATGGCTCTCCAGGCCAAAGGGAGGTCTGTGCCTCAGTTTCCCTGCCAGTGGCTGCACACCAGCAGGTGCTGGAGAAAGGAGGGGGAGGGAGGAGGGAGGAGGAGTGGGCAGCAGGGGGAGGGGAGAAGGGAACGGGAGGGAAGGAGGGGGGGGCCAGGCCCCAGGAGCCCGCGCAGCCGCAGCCTCACCCACGCAGGCACCGTCCTGCTGCGCCCAGCCCGCTTGGCACTGGCCGCAGTCCCTGTTGGTGGGGCCCGTGCACGTCTTACACGACTCGTCGCAAGCTGGAAAGCAGAGGCCGGACGGCTGTCAGTACACGTGAATCCCGCTTGCAGTAACAAACGTGACACAGAGGCCATCTCAGAAATTAAGAATTTACCTGCAGTAGGACGGAAACAAATAAGGAAGAAATCCCGGGAAAGCAATACTCGTTCAATAAGAGGAAAAACTATTCCTGCAATTCGCGATGCAGACCCGACCAAAGAGCACAAACGGGGGGCTTTCACCTCCCGCCAACGGCTGCGTTCTCAGCAGAAAAGAACCCCGGGAAATGGCTCCACACGAACACGCGAGGGGCACGCGCTGAGCATCTCTGGCGCAGGAACCCAATGCGCCTGCTCGTGCCGAGACGCGGGTCCTGGGGCGCGAGAGCCAAGGAGGCCGCCTGCAGGGTGCCGCCCACAGCCTCTTCCGCGGGCCGCTAACTCCTCGTGCGCCCAGACCATGACCTGGGCCCGCGGCCACCTGACGGTCACAACCGAGAAGGTGCTACCCATGTGACCATACAGGCCACCTGAGCACTCACACAGAGGGGGGCCCAGGACACCTCGGAGGACCCGGGCAGGAGAGCCCACCGGACGTGATACTGGGGTAAGCGAGGCGGTGTGCCCTCTTAAGGGGACCTGGGTGCCAGGAGGTCATGCCTCGTGACCTCGGGTGTCCCAGGTCTCGTGCGTGCCACCTCTCTACCCCGTCTCCTGCAGCGACGCGGGCTGGGGCCCAGCATGGCCTTTGCTCGCTCCAGACACTCAGCCTCAGCGACAGCGGGCATCTGGCCTCCCCCCGCCCCCCCCACTGAGACAGCCACAGCGGGAGAGCAAGCCCGTGTGGGGACACTCCAGGCTCCAGGTCACCAGGAGCCCGATGAGCGTGGATGTGACACCGCTGTCCGCTCCCCGTCCTCCAGAAAACGTCGGGAGCCCGGGGACTCGCTTCCCTCCTGGGGGCTGGCTAGGGCCAGGAGGCAAGACCACGGCGGCCGAGCCAGCCGCTTCTCTTCTCATGGTACCTACGCGCCCCCCAGGCTCCCGGGACGTGGGTAAGAGCCAAGGGCTGCTCCTCCCACGCCGAGGACCGTGGGCCGAAGCCCTGGCCGCCCACGCCAGCGCAGTACCTGTGCAGATGCTGTGCGTCTCGTTCCTCAGTGAGCTGAAGTAGCCGTCCACACAGTCCATGCATGTGGCCCCCTGGTACCCGGGGTGACACTTGCAGGACCCGTCCCCCTGCCTGCTGCCGTCCCCGCTGCAGTCCCCGTTCCCGCCACAGGGCCTCTGGGACCCGCCCTGGCACGCTGTGGGCGACACAGACCCGCCTCTCAGAGCTCAGCCCCGGGGGGGGGGGGTCAGCTGGGGGATGGGCTCCCATTGAAGAGACCCGCTCACAGAGTAACTGTCTGGAAGTCCCGCTAAAATCCAGAGCGGGATGTCCCCCCAGCGCGAGCACCTGCTCGGGACTACAGGAGCCCGCGTGCGACCCGTCGGGCCCGCGGCTGTGGCTGCTCCCCTGCCCGGGAGCTCTGGGCAGCCTCCCCGGGAACACGGGACAGGATGCCCACACGTGGGGGTGGGGGGCGGCGGGGGACCGTGACGATGGCCGGGGCCAGCCACAGCAGCGGGATGCCAGGAAAGGCAGGCAGCAGGGGCCGCGGCCGGGGAGAGGGCCTGGACTTGGGAAATGTGCCACTTTATCCAGCCGATCCAGGTGAAGGGGTCTGGGGGCTGCGGTTTCAACGTCTCCATCTTCGCAGAAGAGCCTGGCTTCCCTGCCTGAGGCTGGCGCAGCATGTCCCCCCGACACGTGACTGCCCCGTGGCCCCCACAGACCAGCTCCTCAGTGGGTAGAGCTGGGCCGGGGCCATGCAAGCCACAGACCGCCACCTCGCACTCGGGGCAGCGCCCATACGGGCGGGTTAAAACCGGCCCGCGGGTGGATACGGGAGGTGAGCAGACGTTGAGTTACAAGCCCAGTTGGGATCAGATGCTCAGAGCTGGGCGGCCCAAGGGAGAAGGTCCCTGCGGGGTGAGGGGGGCGGTGACGCAGCAGCCCTGGGCCCGGAGGAGGCAGCTTCCAGGCCCCACGGGAGCCGAGCGCCCCGTTCCCCACCCTGCCCCCGGCCGCCGGGGGCCAGCACGCGGGCACCGGCAATGGCCGGGGCACTGGAGACGCCCCTGAGAAACACGTACCGAGGCAGTCTGGCCCGTACGTCCCTGGTGAACAGCAAACCTCCAGGGTTTTCACACAAAACCATTCAAATAAGTCAGGATGCTCCTTCTTCCTGAGGAATCGAAAACGCATTCGTTAAGGCCCACAAGACAGGTCCCTTCCGCACGAAAACACAGCTCATCATAAAGTCCGCTCCAGGGTACTGTGTGACGCCAGGGAAACACCAGCGCAGGCGGAGCAGACTTCTCCTGTCACCCACCCGCCGCGATTATCGCGCTAAGGCAATGAGATGCTGACGTGGCGACAACAGCAGAGACAAGCGTGTGGTAACTCTGGGGTCTGAAGTTATCCCAAAATCATAAATTGAAAAATAAGAAGTCACTCCTGTTAGTTTCAGTGAACACCCAGAGAGAACAGGGGGTGGGGCTGCGGGGCTGGGGAGCCAGGCTGGGGTACGGGGGCTGGGCCCAGGGAACAGGGTGAGGGGTGCAGGAGACACCCTGGGTGCAGGGGTGCAGGGCTGGGGGAACGGTGGGAGGTATGGGGGTAGGCGGCTGGGGAACAGGGTGGGGGTGTGGGGGGCCCAGGGCGGGGGTGTGGGGGTGCGGGGCACTCACAGGCGCAGCCACCAGGCCTCCAGGCGCTCCTCGTGCTCCTCCAGCATGCTGTGACAGTCGAAGTCGCTGCCGTCACACAGGCGCTCCATGATCTCCAGCAGCCGGACCTCGCTGAAACAAGCCGTCAGCACCGCCGGGTGAGAACGGGAGCCCAGGTGCTCAGCGTCCGTCCCACAGGGACTTCCCCACTTGGCGCCAGGCGGGAAGGACGGTGGCACTTCAGCAGGAAAAGATCCTCAACAAACACAGCTGGGGACGTGTGCCCTGCGGTGAATGAGGCTCAGAGAACAGGGCGGCAGGGGCGGGGCCCACCAGGGGAGCCCCTGAAGCTGGGGGGGGAGGCTGGAGCTCTGGGGGAGGGGGGAGGGCGGACCCCACCGGCAGGGGAGGCTCAGAGACCCGTCACGTGGGGGTCCTCACCGTCTGGGTTGCGTCATTAAAAGACCCAGCTTGCTGTGTGGAGACTGGGTATGGGGACAAGTGTGGGAGCCAAAGGCCACGCAGGGGCCGGCTGACAAGTGACTGGACGGAAGGGACCCCTCTGTGTGTCTGTCATCAGTGTGGGTGACAACGCTCACAGGGCACGTCAGGTACCCAAGTTGGGCTGCCCAGAGCCCGGGCGGCGGCACCCACCTGAATTCATACTTGGAGAGCGTCTTCTCCTCCCAAGCCGTGTTCCCGCCGCCAAAGTTCTTCTTTGCGGTGTCCACCATTCCCTGCGGGGAGCCGGGGCCGCAAGGCTCAGTGCCGCTGCCCCACCCACATCCGTCGTGAGGGCAGCCCTAGTCCGTCACGGTGACCCCCGAGTCCACTCCTGGGATGACACCATCCATTGCCTGAGTGACCCTGGGTCCATCACAAGGGTGACCTGGTCCATCTGCGGGCTATCCTGGGTCCCTGACCATTGTCAGCGATAGGCTGACCTCGGGTCCACGGTGGGGTGACCCCGGCCACTGAGGGGCTACCCTGGGTCCCAGACCCTCGTCAGCGGTCGGCTGACCTCGGGCCCATGGTGGGGTGACCCTGGCCACTGAGGGGCTACGTTAGGTCCGTGACCCTCGTCCGTTGTGGGCTGACCCCGATCCACCACAGGGTTACGCTCGGTCCAGGACCCCGGTCCAACGCGGGACGACCCCGGCCCCGCCGCCCCCAGGCTGGCCCCCGCGACCCCGACCCCGCGTCTGCGTGGAGTGACCGGCCCACCTGGTTGAATTTGTCCACCAGCCCCCGGCAGCGCTTGCAGGGCGTCGCCTTCTTGGAGGGCTCAGCGGGCGGCGGCAGCGGCAGCAGCAGCAGCAGCAGCCCCAGCGCGGCCGGGGTAGGGGGGCGCATGGCGGGCCGCGGCAGCGCTGCGCAGGACGCGGCCGCGCGGGCCTGGCCGAAGCCCAGCGGGAAGCAGCGGAGCGCTCGGCCTCTGCGGTCGCCCACCGCTCGGCGCTGCCGGCAGTTCCCGGGGCTACTTGACGGTGCCGGGCGGGATCCCGCCCCGCGCCAGCCCTCGCGCCACTATTGGTCGCGGGGTCCCCATGTGGCCCAATCCGGGCTCGCCACGAGAAGCGACCAATAGGAAGACCCCGGGTCAGCGCCCAGCCGGGAGGGGGCGGGGACGGGGGCGTGGAGACGGGAGCCCGCCCCTCGCGCGCCGGCCGCGGCGGCCATCTTTACTCCGGGCTGGGAAGGCGTCCCGCGGCGACGATAGAGACGTTTGGGCAGCCATGTTAGGTTTGGGCAAGGGCTTCTCGTCCGTTCTCCGCTTCCGCCACCCCGCTTCCGGCCGCGGGCCGCCCGGGAGCCGCGCTTCGAGGGACGCCGCCGCGGGCGGGCGAGGTTAGCGCGCGGCACTAAGCGGCCGGGGCTCTCGGGGCGGGCGGCGGGCTCTGCCGTCCTTAGCGCCGGTGCTCCTCGCCCGGAGCCTGGGCACAGTGCCCTGGGGGCCCGGGGCCCGCGTTTCCCCTCTGCCCGCGCCCCCTGGCCCGGGAACCGAGGTGGAAGTGGAACCGAGACGAGCGTGCTCCGGCTCTGGCGACGGACGCGCAGGGCCGCTCGCGGCGGGGCCTCGGCGTCCGCGGCGGCCTGTGAGGGGACAGCGTTCAGTTCCCTGGGGGGGGGCGCGCCCCGGGCCCCCTCACCGGGGTCTGCGGGGCGGGCGGCTTCTGACCTGGGACCCCGGGGGCCGGAGTCCGGTTCCCGCCGAGCAGCTTGTCTTGTGCCGCCGTCTCCGCAGCTTGCGGTGTAGATGCTTGGCGTTTCTTCTTTTTTCCGTGACAGTAAGAGGACTGAACGGCGTATGAGTGTTTCGCAGCCTCCTTCGCTTTACTGGAGCTTAAAACATTATTTTTGTGAGGCGCCTGGGTGGCTCAGTCTGTTGAGCGTCCGACTTTCGCTTGGGTCATGATCTCGCGGTTCGTGGGTTCGAGCCCCGCGTCGGGCTCTGTGCTGACTGCCAGCTCAGAGCCTGGAGCCTGTTTCGGTCTGTGACTCCCTCTCTCTCTGACCCTCCCCTGCTCACGCTGTCTCTCTCTCTCTCTCTCTCCTAGAAATAAATAAAAAATATTTAAAAACAAACAAACATTATTTTTGCTTTTTTAGTTTTTGGGGGAGAGAGAGAGAGAGCACGAGCGCATGTGAGCAGGGGAGAGGGCATCCCAAGCGGCCTCCACACAGAGCTGGCCGTGGGGGCTCGAACTCACGGCCCTGAGGTCATGACCTGAGCCGAAACCAAGAGTCCGTAGCTTAACCGAGGAGCCACCCAAGCCCCCCGGGTCCCAGGAGACTACACACTTAAGTCTCTCTCCAATCACAGGGTAGTTTTAGGGGGACCTGGGCGGCTCTCTCTCCCTCCCCAGCTCCGCCCCTCCCCCCATGCATGTGTGCACACGTGTCCTCAAATAAAAAAGTAAAAAAAGTATTTTTAGCAAACAGTAAGCACTTTCCTTTTGCTTCTGGTCCTTCGGGTTCTGATCAAATTAAATCAAAGCTGCTTTTTTTTCCTTAATGTTTTATTTATTTCTGAGAGAGAGGGAGAGACAGCGTGAGCAGGGGAGGGTCAGAGAGAGAGGGAGACACAGAATCTGAAGCAGCTCCAGGCTCTGAGCTGTCAGCACAGAGCCCGACCCAGGACTCGAACCCACGAACCGTGAGATCATGACCTGAGCCGAAGTTGGACACTCAACCGACTGAGTCACCCAGGTGCCCCTCAAACCTGTTTGAAGAGTAGCCAGAAATACAAGGAAGAATTTGCCGTCTTCCCGCCGCACAAATGGGAGACTGCAGGTGCCCCCCAGGAAGCCCTGGGCTGTCGGCTCCTCTGCAAATCGCCCTGCTGGCAGCTGGCTGATTCCAGGGACCCGCTGCGGGCACACCTGTCCGAACGCCTCAAGGACACACTCATGCTTTTTGTCCCCTGTGTGCTCATGTTCAGGGGCTCCCCACGGCTTCCAGGGTGAAGTCCAGCACGCAGTGGGGCAGGCGGGCCACCTCCTGCCCTCCTGCGGCTGCCCCTCGCTCGGCCTCCGGCCCCTGTCCCGCATCTCTGCCGGTACCGCTGGGCCCTGCTGCGCGGCCAGAGCGGAGCCTCCACTGCAGGGCCCGTCCCGCTGCCCTCCCGAGCTGGGTCAGCCCAGGGCCCGGCCACCAGGAGGACTGACTCGGTTCTGCAAATAAAGTCTTTTTTCCTGGAAAAATACACAGCTCAGGGTCTGAGATAGCCAGTTAAAGTGTGAAAGGGATGCCTGGGTGGCTCAGGCGAAGCGTCCGACTCGATCTCAGCTCAGGTCTTGATCTCGGGGTCATGAGTTCAAGGCCCACGTTGGGCTCCACGCTCAGTGTCAAGCGTACTTTTATAATTCTTTTGACTGTTTTATTTTACTTTATGAGAAAGAAACAGAGTGTGAGCAGGGGAGAGAGAGAAGGAGACACAGAATCTGAAGCAGCTCCAGGCTCTGAGCCATCAGCACAGAGCCTGATGCAGGGCTTGAACTCATGAACCGCAAGATCATGACCTGAGCCAGTCAGACACTAATTGACTGAGCCACCCAGGTGCCCCAGCCTACTTTTAAAAAAAAATACGAAAGGTGCTCAAGTGTGGTTTTTCTTTGAACATTCTCTTTGGAGGCCTTCTGAGCTACACAAGTTACGGCAGCAGTTCGAAGAGTCACGCTCACCCTTCACCCAGCTCCCCCGGGCGTTAACTCGCGTGTGACTGTGGAAACTCAGGAATCTGCATTTTTGTTTTGTCACAGTGCTCACAGAAGAGCGGCGTCGCTGATCACTGGAGGCACGTGAAGCGGGACAGCTCGATGGCCGGGAAGAGGACATCGGGTGCCAGCAGGCAGCGCTGGCTGCTGGGGCTGCTGGTGGCCGTGGGCGCCGTCCACCTCCTCAGCTGCCCCTACTCCAAAGTGGAGGAGAGCTTCAGTCTGCAGGCCGCGCACGACTTGCTCTACCACCGGCTGGACGTGGACAAGGTGAGTACCCGTGTCCCAGGCCACATGGCAGCCCCCGGCCGGGGCATGCGCTGAGCCCCCTTCTCCCTGCAGTATGACCACCTGGAGTTCCCCGGCGTGGTCCCCAGGACGTTCCTCGGACCACTGGCCCTGGCGGTGCTCTCCAGCCCCGCGGTCTGCGTGCTGTCCCTGCTGCAAGCGCCCAAGTTCTATTCCCAGCTAGTAGGTAAGGGGAGTTCGGGCGAGGACGGGGGGAGGGGGCCATGTGAAGTCGGGGCTCCAGTCCGCCGGGCCGAGGCCCCCTCCTTCCGGGCTGTCCTTCTGTCAGGACCGAAGCCACTCGCTGCAGTTGTCCGGAGCTCGGGTTGAGGCCCGAAGTCAGCCCTTCTTGGAGTGTGACCCGGGACAGGTAACTGGGCACCTGTCAGTCTGTTCCCGAGCCCGTGAGGCGCGGGTGCCGGCTGACCTGTCCCCGGCCGCCGCGGCAGGAGGTAAAGCATGCGCACGCGTCTCCCGCGGTGGCCACAGAGGGGCCGCTGGCTGCGCCTGGAGAGCCCGTTCCCCCCGGGGCAGCGTGGTTCCTGCATCGGGGGCCTCGCCTTCCCCACCCAGAGGCCACGTCCACAGGGATTTGTGTGGAGCCTCCTGGGTCTTCCCCCGTGCTGTATATTTTTTAAAACTAAATTCAGAACGTTCTATGCGTGTCTTTCTGCAACGTCACTGTTAGCTGACAGTCACCATTTTTCCATCGTGGTGAATTTTTATCATGGCTGCGCCCAGATGGTATTTGGACCCCCCCCCCCACCCTCCGGAGGCAGCATATTAAAGACACAGGCCCCGGGGAAGAAGCTGCTTCTTGAGCGACTGCATTAGGAAATGGAAATCCTCCGTAGCGGGGCCAGCTGCATGGGCTGTGCCGGTTCGGGGGGTGTTGGGGAGCCCCAGACAGTCTCCTTCCCTTGGGAAGGGCGCCCCTGGATGTGTCCTGTCCCCTCGGCGTGTGCTGCGGTGATGAGGTCATGCCGTCCTGCACACACTGCCTGCCCTGCCCAGTGTCTGTGTCCCCTAAGCCCTCTGCCCAGGCTACATGGCCACAGTGAAGCTCTAGGGTCCCCTCTTTCAAGGTGGCTTCACTGCCACCTTGTTGTTAAGTCACCACTGCGAGTGACGCTGGCGGGGAGCTGCTTCACGCCCTGCACGCCGCGGGCCACTCACTGCGCCCTCTTTGTTTAGTCAGAGCCATCCTGGGACTTGGCGTGATCTTGGGACTCTGGACTTTACAAAAAGAAGTGAGGCGGCAGTTCGGGGCCACGGTGGCCACCATGTTCTGCTGGGTGACGGCCACTCAGTTCCACCTGATGTTCTACTGCACGCGGACGCTCCCCAACGTGCTGGCCCTGTCCGTGGGTAGGTGGTTGCTGAGCTGCACCCTCATGGGCGCACACAGGCCGCAGCGGCCCGGTGAGGGGTGTCCGTCAGAAACGCCCGGTGCCAGATGGAGGCGTGCTTCCCGGCAGGTGGCAGGGGCCGCGTGCAGGGGTCTCCCTGCTCTGCAGACGGCGAGTGAGGCCGGAGAGAAGCTGCTTGCGGGCCAGACGGAAGCTCTGTCCGAGCGTCCTGGGGGTGACCCAGGCCGACGGGGAGAGGCCGTGGATGGTGTGGGCTTGGGGGGTCTGTGCCGGTCGGAGCAGAGGCGTGGCCCAGACCTCAGCTTGCCTGGGGAAGGTGGCAGGCAGGGCGCCGGGCCGAATGACCCCCCCTGGGGGCCAGCGGGACACACTGCAGGCCGGGTGCGCAGAGAGGAGGGGAGGCTGGAGCAGAGCCTAGGCCGTTTCAGAGCGGGTGCCCGGGTCCCGGTGCAGTCAGGCCGCAGAAGCGGCCTCAGGCTGTGTGGTGGCGCTGTGTCAGCGGATCAGGTGTGAATGGCGTGTACGGTCTTCTGGAGGGTTCCGTGTGGCTCTCACCAGGAGGAAGTGAGTGGCCCGCAGCGGCACCCCGTGTCTTGCAGTCCTGCCCGCGCTCACGGCCTGGCTGCAGCTGAAGTGGGCCCGCTTCATCCGGCTCTCGGCCTTGGCCATCCTGGTGTTCCGAGCGGAGCTGAGCCTGTTCCTGGGCCTCGTGCTGCTGCTGCTGCTGCGCTCCCGGAGGGTGACGGTGGCGCGGGCTGTGCGCTGCGCCCTGCCGGCCGGGGTTCTCTGCTTAGGTGAGTGGGAGCCGCCGCGGCTGCTGTGACCAAAAGCGGGGCTCTGGGGAGAGTTGACCTTAATCCCCGGCAGAGACGAAATGTCTGCGCGTCTCCATCCGTGGGCCCTCCTTGTCCTGGCCGGGAGGGGCGGCTGGCCCCGTGTGGGGAGCCCAGGTCCCGACGCGCCATCCCCGTCCCCTGAGGCAGGTGGCTCGTGGCTTCCGTGCAGATGCCGCTGCTTCACGGGACACGTACCTGAGACCTGGGCTCTGGGGCCGCCGTTCACGCCGCGGTGGCGGAGCCCGAATTTCTCGGTGGCCGTGTTCTTCCCTGAGGGTCTCCTCTGTCTCACCAGGCCTGACGGTCGCCGTGGACTCCTGGTTTTGGCGACACCTCGTGTGGCCGGAGGGAAAGGTGCTTTGGTACAACACCGTCCTGAACAAGAGTTCCAACTGGGGCGTATCCTTCTGCTGGGTCTGCTGGCCGGGGCGGTCACCCCTGGCCTCACTCAGGCGCCGCACCCCTGCTGTTGGGCGCCGTTTCTCTTAGCCTTCAGGGTCGTTTTTGATGATAACCTGTAACATTTTGCCGCAGACGGTCAGCACGCGCACGGCGGGGTACAGCGTGCCGGCCCCAGTGCACCCGTCCCGTGGGGGCAGGTTGCTCCGTGGGGGGCAGGCGGCCGGGGCCCCAGGTGCCGCAGGGTGGGAGCGCCTGTCGGCCGTGACTCGCTGGCGTGTGGCTCCTTGACCCTGCGCCCGCAGACCTCGCCGCTGCTGTGGTATTTCTACTCGGCCCTGCCCCGCGGCCTGGGCTGCAGCCTGCTCTTCGTGCCGCTGGGCGCCGTGGACAGGCGGGCCCTGGCGCTGCTGCTGCCCTCGCTGGGCTTCGTGGGCCTGTACTCGCTGCTCCCGCACAAGGAGCTGCGGTTCATCATCTACTCCTTCCCGGTGCTCAACGTCGTGGCCGCCAGGGGCTGCGCCTGCCTGTGAGTGTCCTGCTGTCCCCACTCCCGCAGCCACGCCGCACACGCTCGCTGTCACACGGGGGAGGCGCTTAGGTGGACAGACGCTGCTGAGCGGGCGCCTGCGTTGGAGGGGGACGGCCGAGGGCGGGTCGGGCTGGCCTCGCGCCCAGCGTGTCGGTCCGTCCAGTCAGTCGGGCCGCTGTCCACACGGCTGTGCTGACCGTCCCGGGCTCCGTCCTCGGGGAGGACGTCCCCGGAGTGGCCCCTGCCTGGGGTGGCTGAGTGGGCTTCAGCCAGGGGGATGGTCTCTGGGGCTGACTTCCCTGAAGGGACAGCCTCCCCCCCCCCCCAGCAGAGAGTGGCACTGTTTGTCCGAGCGGATGATGGGCAGGAGGGAAGGGGAAGGGCAGGAAGTGCTCGGCCCCGGGGCTTGAGGCCCACGGTGGTGGCCTGGGGCTTTCCGAGGAAGGGAGAAGTCTCCACAGCAGAACGTAGGTGCCCCTGAGGGGGGCGCCCGGGGTGCAGGCAGGGCGGTCGAGCGGGGCTGCCCTTCCCAGGGGCAACTGCTGTGGCAGGAACTGGAGTGACGGTGGTGCGGCTGGGGGGGGCGGCCCCGGGGAGCCGGGAGAGGCCGTGCTCCCAAAGAGCCAACACCCGTCAAGGGCAGGAAGTGCTGTGTCCCTGCGCCACCCTGGACACAAGCCTCAGCCTTGGGGGCCCCATCTGGGCTCAGCGATGGGCTTGGTGCTGGAGGGACGTGCACCCGACCCGGGGGGGCAGGGGGGACGTGCACCTTACCCGGGGGCGCAGGGGGGACGTGCACCTTACCCGGGGGGGCAGGGGGGACGTGCACCTTACCTGAGGGGGCAGGAGGCTGCTCAGAGCGACAGGCAGACACTACTTCAGGGGTCGAGTCAGGAGGGAGGACCCTGCTCATGGAAACTCCGGGTATCTCAGGTTAGCAGAGCTGGGGCGAACCACGGACAGACTTTGCCCGAGACTGTGTGGTAAGGGGGGGGTCTGTGAACCGATCCCCTCTGAAACGAGGCCGCAGACTCCCCAGGCCGGTGTTGCCGGGGGAGAGGGAACCCTTCCGTGAAACACACTCTTTCCAGGCTGAACAACTACAGGAAGTCTTGGCTGTATAAGCTGGGCTCCGTCCTTGTGGTAGGACACCTGGTAGTGAATGCCACCTACTCGGCCACGGCCCTGTACGTGTCCCACTTCAACTATCCTGGCGGCGTGGCGATGCAGCGGCTGCACGAGCTGGTGGCCCCCGGGACAGGTGGGTGCTTGGGGCCGAGCGGGGCCGGCGGCAGCTCTGGCAGGGGGTCGGGGGGCCCGCCGGCTCACCGTTCTGACTGAGCACACGTGGCCATCCACAGATGTCGTCGTGCACATTGACGTGGCTGCTGCGCAGACCGGCGTGTCTCGGTTCCTGGAAGTCAACAGTGCCTGGAGGTGTGTTCCCGCCTTTTGTGACTGCAGGTGGTGGCGCCCCTCACAGCGGCCACGCGTGGGCTCCCTGGGGGCACGCTGGCACCAGGGGCTGGCACGGGCCCACAGGTGCAAGGCCATGTTCTTCCCTTGCAGGTACGAGAAAAGGGAGGATGTGCAGCCAGGGTCGGGGCACATGCTGGCCTACACGCACCTCCTCATGGAGGCGGCCCCCGCGCGGCTGGCGCTCTACAGGGACACGCACCGGGTCCTGTCCAGCATCACGGGCACCACCGGGGTGAGTCTGAACCTGACCCGGCTCCCTCCCCTCGACTTCAACCTGCAGACCAAGCTGGTGCTTCTGGAGAGACTCGGCCGGCACCCTGGCAAGTGAGGCGAGACGGAGAGTCGAACGGGGGGCGAGCCTTGTACGGACGCCTCAGAGGACAGGCCGGGTCCTGCACGGCCACCCTGGACACTGCAGGGGCCCTAGGCCTTGCCCGGGGGCCTCTCCCTTCAGGGGAGATTGTGTGAGACTCTGTGAAGAGGTAACACGGGAACCCCGGCGCTCCCCCCACCCCTGCCCATGCCCCAAGCTGCGGGAAGAGCCTTCGTGGGCACAGGCACACCGCGCCGACCCAGCTCACGTGAAATTTTGGGAATTTCGAGAGGAATGAGAATAAAATTTGAACGTTTCCTTATTAGAGATCTCCTGATACGTGCTGTTTCTAGAGGCTGCTTTCACAGAGGGTGTGTTTTAAGTGGTGACCCTGGCACCTTTACATTTTAATGAACGAGAATCCACTAGGTGCCCAAAGTGCACGTGACATGAGCAGACATTGAAGATGACGCAGGAAACGGGCGCACCGCACATGCACACGCAGACCGTGTTCGCTCACACCGCATGCACTCCTGCCGAGCACACTTGCGCTGCACGTATCACTCATCCCGCACGCACACACATGCCACGCATGCTCACCCATGCACACGCACACCTTGTGCACAGACACACCAGGTGTGCTCATACTACATGTGCACACGTCACCTGCACCCCTACCTCATGCACTCATGCCACACACGTGCACGCGCATAAAGGATATTTTTTCTGAGCCGTTCAAGAGAGTGCTTATGGCCTGCAGCGCTTCAGCGTGTCCCGGGAGGGAGGTGACGGCATTTCCCACCTTAGCTGCTGTGTCTCCGCGGCCGCCGACGGGTAATGTGTGCGGACACGTCCACTGGGCGCGCTTCCCCCAGCCTCTCCCCGACGGGCCCCTCCTGTGACTCCGCGGCTGGCGCTTAGCGCTCTACAGAGCCACTCCTGCCTTTTCCCTTTTATCTACTTGTCCACGGGGTCTACCACGTGCGCGTCGCCGGCGTCTGCGTGGGCTCTGGCACGTGCGCGTCGCCGGCGTCTATGTCTCACTCGTAGAGCTGGTCAGCGCTCAAGCGTTGGTCGTGGGGTGTCAGCACGCGTCTGTGGGTCGCCGCTGGGCCTTGACGGTCTGAGTCCCCCCGACTCCCCCCGTGCCCACACCGTGCCGGGTTCGCACGGGGAGCTGTCTGGGGTGACGTGTCATCGCTCCCCTACTTCCTGGCACGAGGCTCCAGGGCCCCTCCATCCCAGCCCGGAAATCAGCCATGTGTCCGGGGGCCCTGCCTCCTCTTGGGGGCGGGTGTAGAGACCTGGATGCAAAACGTGCGTGTAGCTCTCGGGATGTCTGTCTCTAGGCCCTGTCTGTGGACAGCGAGGGGGGACGGGCACGCTTGCACGCACACACACACACGCACGTGCACCTGTGAGAGACCACACGCCCCCACCGACACCTCCAGGCCCACCTCCGTGGGCTTGGTTGCCCGCCTGGCTCCAGACCTGTACCTCCGCCCCCCACGCTGAGGATCGTCCCCAGCGACCAGGTTCACGGTCAAATGCCGTGTGTGCAAGTTCCTTGGATGAGCCTGCCTTCACTGTGGCAGTTTTTCGTTTAAAATAGGACTGGGCTCGTGTCTTTCCATTTGCCTCCAGTCTCCGGATCCGGTAAACGTGACTGCGCCTCAGAAACCGGGGCCGTGGCTCCCTCCCGCTCCTCCCCCACGTTTTCTAACTACTGTCCCCGTGTTCTGGTTGGTCCTTCTTGTGAAGATGTGCAGATACACACAGGCTCGTTCCCTGCCCGCGTGCTTGCTGCAGCTGTTCCTTCTGGAAATCACTCCTCTTCTCAGACGTTCCTCCTTCGTGGAACCACGTACTACTTGGTGTGGATGAGCCGTGGTTGAGGCAGCCAGCCTCCTGGCTGCTGGCATGTTCGTGGTTGCCAGGACTTTGCAACTCCCAGCAGAGCTGCGTGAGTAAGCTCACATACGTGTCCTCTCATGCTGTTTGAGGAGTGTCTGTATGATGCATTCCTACAGGTGGGAAGGCGAGGTCACGGAAGCGTGGACCCGTTCTGCTGGGTCCTGCCACATCGCCCTGCCCTGGCCTCGCTGGTCTCGTGGCGAGGCAATGGTGTCTTGGACTTTGCTTCGTTCCTTTTTTTTTTTTTTTAATGTTTTTATTTCTGAGAGAGAGAGACAGTGTGAGCAGGGGAGGGTCAGAGAGAGAGGGAGACACAGAATCTGAAGCAGCTCCAGGCTCTGAGCTGTCAGCACAGAGCCCGACGCAGGGCTCGAACCCATGAACTGTGAGATCATGACCTGAGCTGAAGTACACTTAGCCAACTGAGCCACCCAGGTGCCCCATTTCTTTTCTTTTTTTTTAAATGTTTATTTATTTTGAGGCAGAGAGAGAACAAGTTAGGGAGGGGCAGACAGAAGGGAATAGAGAGATTCCCAAGCAGGCTCCCCACTATTAGCACAGAGCCTGATGCAGGGCTTGCACCCATGAACCGTGAGGTCATGACCTGAGCCGAAGTCAAGAGTCGACGGTTAACCAGCTGAGCCCCCAGGCTCCCCTTTGCTTCATTTTTTCACAAGTGAAGGTGAGCATCTTCATAGATGTAAGAACTATCTGTTTTTATAAGTTGTCTGTTCATAGATTTTGTCCATTTTCCATCGGACTTGGACGTTTTGCTCTCATTTTATATGTATCTACGTATATACATACATTACTAGGGTATTTGCCCTTCATTTCCAACATAAGCTGCACATTCTCCTTTTGTCACTTATCTCCGGACTCGAGTGTGAAGTGAAGAGCCTTCCCAGGTGGAGGTTTATTGCCCATTTCTTGCCTGGCATCCTGGGTGGGAAGCTTTTCGCACAGTCAGCTCCACCGTGTTTTCTGTCCATGTCTGCTCGGTGTCTCTTCTGCATGTAGGCTTTGGGTCCATTTGGAGCTCACTTTTGTTTGTGTGAGGCGTAGGCCTTCTTTCCTCTTTCTCCAAGTGGCTGTCCACTTACTAAAGGCCCATCGTTGCCTCAGAGATGTGAAGTCACACACCGAACGTGCACGTTTCAGGTTTGGGCAACTATGGAGAAAGCTGCTCTAAACATCTGTGCGCAGCTTTTTGTGAGGACCCGTGGCTCCAGCTCCGTGGAAATACCAGGGAGCACGACTACTGTAAGGTAGGAGTATGTTTAGTTTTTTTTTTTTTAATGTTTTTTTTTATTTATTTGTAGGAGAGAGAGAGAGACAGCGTGAGCAGGGGAGGGTCAGAGAGAGAGGGAGTCACAGACTGAAACAGGCTCCAGGCTCNAACTTTTGGTGGAGCATGTGACCAATAGCATGGCCATCTTTAAAAGTTAGTAACTCTAGGGAAATCATTATGTACTCTTGTCAGATATACCGTATTTAGAGGCTGATTTTTATTTTTATTTTTATTTTTTTAAATATTTTTATTTATTTCTAGGAGAGAGAGAGACACATCGTGAGCAGGGGAGGGTCGGAGAGAGAGGGAGACACAGATTCCCAAATAGGCTCCAGGCTCTGAGCTGGCAGTCAGCACAGAGCCCGACGCGGGGCTCGAACCCATGAACCGCGAGATTGTGACCTAAGCGAAAGTCGGACGCTTAACCGACTAAGCCACCCAGGCGCCCCAGAGTATGTTTAGTTTTGCAAGACACGGCCGGGCTGTGCTCCAGCGTGGCCGCACCATCTGCGTCCCTCCGGCAGCGGTGCTCCACAGCCTCCTGGCACTCGGTGCTGTCGGCGCTCTGGATACGGCCCCTCTGAGGGGCGCGTGGCGGCCCTTGTTTTAACGTGCGTTTGCCGGATGCGCGTGATGTGATGCTTACCTGGTGTCTATACGTCTCTGGTGTCCATCAGTGTCTCTAAGCCTGTTTTCCAACTGAATTGTTTCCTTGCTGTTGAGTTTTAAGGGTTCTTTGTATATTTTGAATATCAGCCCTTTATCAGATGTGGCTTTTGCACAGGTGTTCTCCCGGCCTGGTCTCTGCATCCTCTTGACATTGTCCATCACGGAGCAGAGAATTTTAATTTTAACCCAGTCTAGCTATCAGTTCTCTCTTTCATGGATCGTGCCTTTGGTGTTGCATCTGAAAACTCATCTCCACACTCAAGGTCATCTAGGTTTTCTCCTGTCACCTTCTAGGAATTTTATAGTTTTGCATTTACATTTAAGTATGTGGTTGATTTTGCGTGATGTTTATGAAGGGTGTGGGTCTGTGTTTAGCTTCTGCGTGTGTGAGTGAGTGTGTGAGTGTGTGAGGCGTGAGTGGATATACAGCTCTGGCACCATTAGCTGAAGAGCCCATCTTTACTCCCTTGTGTTGTCTTTGCTCCTTCGTCAAAGATCACGTGACTGGATTTATGGAGATCTATTTCTAGACTACTTTGTTTCACCGATCAATTTGTATATTGTTTTGTCAACACCACATCGTCCTGATTAACTGTAGCTTTATAGTAAGGCTTGAAGCGAGGCAGAGTCAGTCTTCCAACTTTGTTCTTCTTCAATATTCTGGTGGCTATTCTGGGTCTTCTGCTTCTCCATGTAAACTTCAGAATTGTTTTGTCGACATCCATAAAATAACTTGCTGAGATTTGATCAAAATTGCATTGATCTATAGATGAGGTTGGAAAGACCTGACATCTTGACAATATTGAGTCTTCTTATCTGTGAACATAGGCTGCCTCCCCAATTGTTTAGTTGATTTTGCTCATCAGAATTTTGTTCTTTTCCTCATTTAAATGTTGTATATATTTTGTTAGATTTATGCCTAAATGTTTCGCTTTTTGAGTGCTAACATAAATGGTATTGTTTTTAATTTCAAATAACACGTGTTCATTGGCAGCATGTAGGACAGAATTGACTTTTGTATGTTCACCGTGTTTCGTGGAGCCTTACTGTAACTGCTTAGTTCCAGAAGCCTTCTCGTCAATTCTCTTAGGATTTCTACTCAGATGATTATGTCATCTGTGAGCAAAGGCCGTGTTATTTCTTCCATTGCAATCTGTGTACCTTTTATTTCCTTTTCGTGTCTTGTTGCATTAGCTAGCACTTCCAGTTCAGCGTTGAAAAGGATGGTGAGAGAGGACATCCTTGCCGTGTACCTCATCTAATGGGAAAGTTTTGAGCATCTCACCATTAAGTGTAATGATAGCTGTAGGCTTTTTATAATGGTTCTTTATCAAGTTGAGGAAGGCCCCCTTTATCCCTAGTTTACTGAGAGCTTTTTTTTTTTCTTTTTTCTTTTTTTTCTTTTTATTTATTTCTAGGAAAGAGAGAGAGCGTGAGCAGGGGAGGGTCAGAGA